GCATTTGGATGCAGGCTTAGGGAACTTGATGAAGAGCGGCTTAGCCACTTAGCGATTTATTTCTCTGCTACAGGTGAGGGGTCTGCTGCGCAGGACTGGCCTGGCAGCTGTAAGATGTCCTGAAGGACCCTGCTCCCATCCTTCCCTTTGCCTTTAGCACACGGTGTCTCTTTTTCAATTGGGAAAATGGTCCTCTACCTCCAGGCCCGACAGTGGTATTTCCGCAAGTGAGAAGGAAGGAACAAAGCTTAACATTTTCGTCTTTGTTTTTTCCACTTTTCAAATGGAAGCTTCCCAAGGAGCAGCTGCCTTAGAACTCATTGGCCTGAACTCTTGTCATCTGATCACCCCTAGTTGCTGAGCCGTTGAACAAGTGTGTAGATAGAGCTGAGTGACTTTCCTCAACCAAACTGGGTTTCTGGTATTACGAAAGGGAGAATGGCTAGTGGGTATATAGCATTATCTGCCATGGCATTTTAGTGATTTTGGTTTTTTTTTAAAAAGACAAGAAATAATGTCTACTTACAACTTACTGCTACTTACAACTCAACGGTCATGGGCGAAGATAGTGATTTTTGCTCCCAGACTTACTTCTGGTGTCTTTCACTGCCTCTCCAAATTGATCGTACATTTTGTTTCAGAACAACGCAAGTGTAGGGAGAATAAAGCTCTTTGTGTCACGGAAATGACTGTATGTTATTGTTACTGAGCTCTGGGTTCCCGCCAGCAGATGAAGTGCCCTTGGCAGCTTCCCCACGCCACATGGGAAACCTTTCTGTTACCTGGACCTGCCTGTCAGGCAGGTGCCTTCTCTCCAGTCCCTGCCTCCCAAGCCGACCTGCACCCCCAACTCTCAAGCCTGACCCACCACAGTTCTCCCAGTCCACATACACTTCAGGACTTCTTAAAAACAGCCTTAAAAAAACAACCCATGTTGCTGTGACTCATCTTCCTTCCTGGTGCTAATATCACAAATAACCACTTGAAAACTTCCTTTTCTGAGTTTAATTTCTCCCCTTGGTTTATTTGGATAGTTTGCTGTAATATTAGTTCATTTTTAAAAATACAGCCTTAGCTCCTTTCAAGTATTCTCTTTTATAATCTTTTTGGGCTTATAACGGGAGGAAAGGAGGAGAGCAGCGGGTCACAAAGTACTTCAAGTCCTGCTCTTCTCTTGGGGAAACTTGATTTACCTAAAACACCAGGTCTTTAGGGCTCTCCCCAGCCTGAAGCTTCTCTGTGGGAAGGTCTCTTTCTCAGAAGAATTTCCTTCTACTTAATCTTCTGAGTAGAGAGAACGTTTATACTGTCCTAAAAGTTTACATAGGTAGAGAACGAAAACTCTTATTCTTTCTTCGCCAAGTTCTCACTTCCCCAGTTGCACAAGAATTTTAACCAGCATTTCCTCCTTATTAACTTAATGTTATATTAATTTCAATATTTAAATCTTAATTTCAAAATTCTACGATAAACTTTCTATTCTTTTCTTACAATTGGCTATGAAAAGGGAAGATACTAGGTCAAGAATACTTTCAAACATAGCTAATAGGAATGTGAATTGATGAGGTCTTGTTGAAAAATGGCTCCGCCTGGATTCTTCAGGGGTCTGGAAAATGTCACTGCCATTTGACCTGGTGTCATTCATAAGGCTCAGTCAGTGTTGAGAAGCAAGGAATGCCAAATAAAGATACTCATTATGTGAATTTTTAATGCCGAAACTTGATAAGTAAGCTGAATATCTAATACCAGGTTAGTAGTTGATTTTTCATCTACATGATGGAATTTTCAAGCAGATATTAAAATTACTGGTTTTGAAAATATTATATTGTGGGATAGAAACATTCATGGTCTGCTGTGCTGTTGAGTAAAGGGCAAGGTGCAGCTCTTCTTACTGAGTGTAGCACCGCACCGTAGCACTGTCCTCCCGTTGTTCAGCGATTTGCTCGAACAGGCCCAGTAACATTGTGAGACTTGTTGTTACTGCGTTTGGCATATCGAATACGTCAGGTGGAGCTTGCCAGGCTTTGCCGTGTGGGTGAGATACTCTCGGTAGCTTGCTGGACTCTCCGAGAGGGATGGAGGAATTGAAGGTGAAGGAATTGAACTCGGGGTCGGCAGGTTTGCTGCGTGCAAGGCAAACGCCCTACCCGCTGTGCTATCGCTCTAACCCTTACTGAGTGTAGTTCTGTGAAAATAAAGACCAGTTGAGCTGTAGAGGACTAGAGTTCAGCAAAAAATGCTTCAGGGGGGTGGTGGGGGATAGGAGCTGGCCAAGGGTTGGGAAAATGCAGAAGCTGTATACCTGTAATTCCCTGAATTATAAAGACCATGTAGGTACAATTTTTAGGTACTTTCACTTTATGTCGTAGTATATATGATATGTACACACATCACATGGGAAAAGATGCATTGGGAATTGCCACAAAAAGAGTAATAAAAGTGGTTCGAATACCCAGGTGTTTACCAGCTGTCCTTCGCGGAGAGTTTGCCAAACTGGTTTCTGGTTGGTTCAAAGTTCACTTTCTCTCTGAGGCCTTTTTTTTTTTTTTTTTTTGCTTTTTTTGGGTCACACCTGGCAATGCACAGAGGTTACTCCTGGCTCTGCACTCAGGAGTTACTCCTGGCAGCGCTCAGGGGACCATATGGGATGCTCGGAATCAAACCCAGGTTGGCCTCGTGCAAGGCAAACGCCCTACCTGCTGTGCTATCACTCCAGCCCCACTCTCTGAGGCCTTTTGTAGCTACCTGCTGTGACATTTTTACCAGCTACCCCCAAATTTCCCTTCGTATTTCAGATCACTCTTACGAGTATTGGAAATATGCTAGATAATATTGAGCTACACAAATGAACATAACAGCCAGATTCATGCACTGACTTGCATTTTTTCAGTGATTGGTTGGTAGGACTGTAGGTAACTGTTTGTTTGTTTGTTTGTTTATTTATTTATTTATTTTTGCTTGACAATTTTCAAACAAAGGAGCGTTACATCATGAAGTGGAAGCACCTGGAACTGGGTCCTGGAGGACATGGTGCTATGCTGAGTTGTATTCTTCCAAGGGCAGGGGGGACCCACACACGAAAGCAGAACCGAAATAGGAGAATGACAAGCTGTCTGAGGACTGTGATCAAATGAATGACAGCTTTCAGCCAACAATAAACCAGCCTTGTGGAGTTGTCAAGGGGACTTTAAGAGAGATGGATGCTTGCTTGTTGTTTTTTTTAAACTGAAGTTTTTTTTTTTTTTAAATGTGACTATATTTCTAAAATTGTATAGCAGTGGGAAGGGGGAGTAGTCACTCTTAGAAATAAAAAGTGACATTATTCAAGAGTACCTCACTACTAATTAGAATTTAAAGCACGCAGCCAGTAATCCTCTCATTTTCTAACAGCGACTTTAAAGACGTTCTTTCATTTCTTTCTGCATGCCCTCTTGTTATTTACTTTGCCTTCTTCAGCCCAGTGATTAGAGTATCTTTAAGCATTAACAGATTTTCACCTCAGAGAGATAAATCAGGCTGCGGGGGCAGCAGAAACAGGGAGAACAGGGAATTCGAGAGCATTCTTCAAACATTTTATTTTCTTGTGACAAGAGGTCCATCTGGCTGCTTGATTTATTACAGGGATTCTTGGCCATTATAAAATGCACCGTTTAAGTTGCAGGGAGAGGAGGGTGGCATGGCCACAACCGCCGGCCGTTCAGGGCTTCCTCCTGCCTCTGCACTCAGTGATCATTCCTGGCAGTTCCTGGGGGACCATCTGGGTGCCGGGGAACAAAACCTGGTTGTGTTGACTGCCTGCAAGGCAAGTGCCTTAGTCTGTGTGCTCTCTCTTTAGTCCCACCATTTAAGTGTTTTCTGCAGATTTTTTTTTAGACATGTAGAAAAAACAGACTGACTTTGTTGTGTGTATTTAAGATCTACCTCGTCTAAGGCTCTACGTATTGTCACCTCATCCAAATTAGTTTACTACCAAGCCTGGAATCAAGAAAGGACTGAAATTTCAAAAAGGTCCAGAGGCATTGACAGCTCTTCAGAGCACACCTGACCCCTAGTGACTGGGGAAGGAAAGGAAATGTATAAGAGCTGAGGGAGGCAAAGGGGAGGCAAAGGCAAAGGGTTAAGCAAGAGTTGGAAGCAGTGGTGCTCACTGTTGATGCTCAACTTAGAAGTGGAGAATATTATTCTCTTGTGAATTGATAGAAAGGACGCTTTCACGGCAGTGGCTACTGGAGTACCTGAAAGAGGAGACTTAGCAGAATGAGCTGCTGCTCCCCAGAATCAATGAAATGTTGATGTTCACATCTCAGAAGGCTGGACATGGTTTTCTCGATGGTTTGGGGCACAGGCATCAAATGTTATGACGGTAAACGTCAACTTCCTGGAACTGTGTCTCGGAGGAGACTGATCCGCCGAGAGCTCACTGAATCTCTAACCGATTCTATTCCTTCGAACCTATTCTATTCCTCTCACCTATTCTATTCCTTCCTGGTATTCTGAGCCATACCCCCAGTTCTGGGGCGTCAGGGTGAAGCGGTCGCCGTCTCGGGATTTGCTTAGGCCTCTGCTAACACCGGTGACTGGAGCCTGCTGTGGGGCTGTGTGGATCTCCGCTTTGTGGCGTTACCTCCTGCAGTGAAAATCAAATCCACTTCAGCTTGAAATCGTTCCCCATTATTGAAAAATGAGCATTGCTCAGTGAGGATAGAGAAGGGTCCACTATGACAAAGGTAGCTGGAAATGATCACTCTGGATAAGAACTGAGTGCTGAAAGTAGCTAAAGGGACAAACATGAGGGAAGGGTTGGGGGAGGGAAACTGAGGACATCGATGGTGGGAACTGCACACTGGTGGAGGGATGGGTGTTGGAACACGAGGGCTGAAACCTGACCAAGAACCCCTTTGTAACTCTATCTCGGGGGTGACGCAATAAATAAATGAATACCATTTTTAAAAATAAAATGAAATGAAGTATTTCTCCTGATGTGTTTCTTTTCTCTCTAGATAAAGAAGAAACAGCAGGATGTGGTTAGATTTCTGGAAGCCAACAAGATAGAATTTGAAGAGGTGGACATCACCATGTCTGAGGAGCAGAGGCAGTGGATGTACAAAAACATCCCTGCCGAGAAGAAGCCTGCTCAGGGGAACCCTCTTCCTCCACAGATATTCAACGGCGACCGCTACTGTGGAGTGAGTAGCTAGATTGTTTTTCGCGTGACGCCTGTGTGTTATGAAACCGGAGAATCGCCTAGAAAGGGGTTAGGACTTTTTCTGTGACTCTTGCAGCCCATGACTACTTTGTCAGTCTCCACGTTGGTGGAGGGTGAAGTTGAAGGGGAGATGAGTTCAAGGTCATGTACTGTGTATAGTTGTGAGTGCCTCTCTCTCTCTCTCTCTCTCTCTCTCTCTGTGTGTGTGTGTGTGTGTGTGTGTGTGTGTGCACCTGGGAAAAGGGATGGGAAGGGAAATTATATGGATAATTTTATTGTGCTCTGACTTTTAAAGCATTGTTTTCATTATCAGTACATTTGGGGGACAGACTAGAAGGGTTCGTTGCTGTTTTTGAGTATTGGTTCCTGTAATAATAAAAGCTGATCATTGTAGACCAGGGTTTCTCCCTACCCACCCAAGAGGCCATACTGTGGTGCTTGGGAAGCCAGCGGCCACTCCCTGCCACCAGGGCCAGATGTGGCTCAAGGCCACCGCCAGCAGCGTTCAAGGTGGGGCATGCAGTGTTTAGAATTGGATTCAGTGCCTTGCTCCTGCTGGGCATGTGCTGTATCACTAGAGCCCTTTCCTCAGCCCTAGAGTTTTACTTTTTAAGATGGTAATGAGCCAGATGGATCATTTATGGAAACATCTAAAATACATTAGGTGCCTTCTTGCTTATGAAGCATCTGAGAAGGCAAAATCTCCTGTCTATTTATTTTCCTCCTCACTTAAAAAAAAATGAAGAAACGTCTTTTTTTTTATGAGTAAGTCAGAGCTTGCCTATTGCTTTGACTCTGTCCTATTTATTTTGTGCTACCGTTCTTTAAGGATGATCTGTAGAGGAAGGAAAACAGAATGTCGAGGAGGCTGAACTGAATGAAGTAATTGAGCTGCCATCAGGGCAGAGGAAGGTGAAAGAGTGTTTCTGGGAGATTGAAAGGAAGCAGTTGCCCTTCTTCATGTTTGGAAAGGAGAATGCGACCCTGGGACATGGAGACTTGTACCTGAAGTTCTTATATCCATACCCTGAGGATCCTGGACATGGCACGAGACCTGGTGAAATAGAGTCCCAAAGCTAACTCATCTTGACCAGGACATCTTTGGGAAACCATGTATCTCTTTGAGCCCCATTTGTCTCAGAGAGACAAGGGATAATGCTTATCTTTGTGCAGCTTTTTAATACCATGGCATAATATTTCGCTGAGGGAAGTTTGTGGCAAACCTACTCTGTGTCTATTATTCATCGATTGCCTCGAGCAGGCCCCAGTAACGTCTCCTTCATCCTAGCCCTGAGATTATATTCAAGGGTCTTTAGGAGAATGAGACCCATCATTGTTACTGGTATTTGGCATATTGGGGACGCCACGGGGAGTTTGCCAGACTCTGCCGTGTGGGCAGGCTACATTCGGTAGCCTCCCAGTTTGTCCAAAGTAAGAAGGAGATAATAAGATGTCACTTCCGGGAGCTGGGTTTTATAGTCTCTGAGTCTTGGCCGTTGATGGGATTACAAGGCGCCACGGGGCCAGTTGGTGGGTGTGACCCCGCCTACTGGAATTTGGAGGATCTGGGTGGAGGATGCTTAGCCCCAAAACGTTTTTCTTAAATAATCGTAATCTTTTAAAAGGATCTGAAAATATCTCTTTTTTTAATTTTTGGGTCACACCAGATGGAGCTTAGGGCATACTTCTGGCTCTCTGCTTGGGTATCACTCCTGGCGGTGCTCAGTGGACCATATGTCATTCCAGAAGACTAAATCAGGGTCACCTGCATGCAAGACAGGAAAGCTAACCCTTGTATTATCTCTATGGTTCCAAAAATATTAATTGGCTTTACTTTAAGTTCATTAATGACACCGGATTCCATGGGCTCTATAACTTTCCATATCAAGTTTCTTAAAGTCTAAGAAAGCCAAGTTTCTACTGGCATATCTGACTTAGACTCCCAAACTGTGACTAAATGACGCGATATGAAATGATTGGAGGCCAGACAGTTCAAAATAGAGTAACGCTGATAGTCAAATCATGCCCCAAACCTTAAAAAACATTCAGCAGTTTTCTTTCTCTCCCACTTTGCTGGTATGAGAAGGACTTTAATTCTGACCCCAAAGGGTGGTTCAGATGGGCATAAAATTCTGGGTTTGAAAGAACTCCTGGTGCTTGTTCTTCATTGTCTGGTTATAGTGCTACCATTTTCTCTGTTTTTTTTTTTTTTACATGCCATGTCAGTTTTTATTTTCTGTGTGAGTTGCTAAAGCCTGTGTCCCAGAGTTCTGGTAATAATTATGATATTAGCTACTTTTCATTTATTGTCCTGAGTACTAAGAATGAAATTTAATCTAAGAATGAAATGGTTGAATTAGTAAATATGTTCTTGTGTTATTTCTCCCTGATTTTTTTCCTATTCTGTTTCTCTGAATTGCCTTATCAGTTTGGATATTGAGACTTTTTACACTGATTTTCTGATATTCATATCGCCCCTCTCGGAGAGCCCGGCAAGCTACCGAGAGTATTCGATATGCCAAACACAGTAACAACAAAGTCTCCAATGGAGACGTTACTGAAATCGACGATCAATGGGATGGCCTTTACCTTTACCTTTACCATATCTCGTAATTATACTGTCAAGCTTCTTTTTATTCCCATTTCTGTAATATGTCTATAACTTATTTATCTTTAATTAACACAGTGGATAGGGCATTTGCCTTGCACATGGCCGACATGGCCAACCTGAGTTCGATTCCTCCTCCCCTCTCAGAGAGCCTGGCAAGCTACTGAGAGTATCTTACCCGCATGGCAAAGCCTGGCAAGCTACCCATGACGTATTCAGTATGCCAAACACAGTAACAAGTTTCACAATGTTCCTGGACCCACTCGAGCGAATTGATGAACAACGGGAGGACAGTGACAGTAACTTTTAGCCATCTTTCTCTTTTCTTACTTTTTAAGAGTGCTGTTTTTAAAATGATATGAGCACAATACCTTAGTTTAGTGGAGATATTCAGTATAATTTCTTTTAAAGTTTTGTTACCAGTATTGTCCATCCCATCAACGTCCAAGAACCAGAGACTATAAAACCCAGCTCCCGGAAGTGCACGGCCGCATTTGTGGCTGCGTGACATCTTATTATCTCGTTCTTGCTTTGGACAACCTGGCAGGCCACCGAATGTAACCTGCCCACACGGCAGAGTCTGGCAAACTCCCCGTGGCGTACTCAATATGCCAAATACCAGTAACAATGATGGGTCTCATTCTCCTAACCCTGAAAGAGCCTCGAATGTGGCACTTTTTAGAATCTCAGGGCTAGGATGAAGGAGACATTACTGGTGCCTGCTCGAGGCAATCGACGAACAACAGGATGATCGTGATCGTGATTGTCCATGTGTGCACTGGTTTTATTTTGTTTATTCTTGAGTGTGGTGGGATGTTCTCAGATGGTCTTTATTGCCCTCCTTCATGCAGGAAGGAGAATGAGATGCTGGAACACAAGAGGCAAGTGCATGGGGCTGGGAAACCAGTTCAAAGCAGTGAAGCACATGCCTTGCTTGTGTGACCCAAGGCCCTCCTAGCACTGCTGAGTATTGCCTTGGGGTCCCTAAGCATCCCTGGGTCCCAGCAGCACTACATTGTTTATCCCAAGCACCTGACCATCAGGTGTGGCACCACCGACCAAGTCTTGCTCCCAAGTATTGCTAGGAATGGTCCCCAGGCTCCTGAACTCTGCTGACCCCAGCCCCCATAAAGGGAAGCTTTGTGTTCACCTAGATCTGTTTATAGGATTGCTTCCCAGTGGGTTTCCGGGTTGGTGGCTGGTCAATATTTCCTTAGCAGATATTGATAGTAGAGTCTTTCTCGGGCAATGGTGTTTCCCTGGGAAGGGCCCTCAGTGTCTTGCTTTGGTACTGCCACCTGACTCCTGGAGTTGCGGGCTGGTGAGATGAGACAAGAGTCGCCTGTGTTTCTGGTCCACTCTCCATATTAGTGTTTCTATGTCTGTAGCCTCCTGGAAGCTGTGTGTGTTGACAGTGCACCTTCTAGCTCCTTCTGGGGGCTGAGGTCCCCCGTGGGATCCAGCCAGCGCTTCTGTCAGTTTTCCTACGTCTCCCTGTGCCTGCGGCTGCTCTCTCCACTCTCCCAGTTGCTAATGCCTGCAGCTTTTCTCTGGCTAAAGCTGCTTCTGCTGACGCTGAGAGATTTGAACCTCCTCTTTTCTTTAATGCTTCTCACCATTCCCTAGGACTCCTGGAATTACGTTGCAGTTCTGGCTCCTGTCGTCAGAAATGCAGGAGTCTTCCAGAGCTCTGTGACCAAAGGATTGCAAGTGATATTTTAAAAACAAATGAATTCTTTTATTTTCACCCCTTTTATCCTTTGTAAATCTCTATTTGCTTTCTACTTTTGTCTTTCAGAGTCTATGAAAAGATTTCAGAGTCTATGAAAAGATTTTTTTTTTTTTTTTGGCTTTTGGGCTACACTCAGCTGTACTCGACTCTGAGCACAGGGATCACTTATGGCAGACTTTGGGGACCAGGGACAACCTGGGTATATATATACCGCATGCAAGACAAAAGTCCTACCCACTGTAGTACCTCTCTGACTCCTATGGAAAGTTTTCTGATCAGCAGGCTTGAGATTTTGTTGTTTCTGTATTTATTATCCCTCACAGTGTTGGATAAATATATAAACGCAAGAGCCGTGCTGGTGCTTTTGTGGCAGTGACAGTGGACAGGGCCATCGGTGTCTGCACCCACTTCCTAGTTGGTTCTGGCTATTAGGAAGAGCGCCTACTCTTACAGGATGCAAGTATATTCTACCTAAGTGAAAGCAAAGGCACAAGAGAGCTCACTAGCCCCATCACTTCATTTAGCCCCTCTGGGGAACCCAGTGATAATTTATGGGTGGTCCTGTCTGCTTGCATAATCTGTTGGACATGGGCCACATTACAAGTGAATCATCAAGATTCTCCTTTCTTCTAAAATTGGT